TGTTCAGAGACATGTCTTACGCTCAGACTTGTCCATTCCTTCCAGCCTGCTGTGCACTTCCTATGTTAGCAATATGGCTTTAGGCACGGAACAAAAAGAAAGTTACAACTAAAGGTTAAAAAATCATCACTATTTTGTAATCTATTATGTTGCTTTAAAATGCTCTAAATTTTGATTCCTTGGTTATGGCATTTTTTGAGATTTTCTGAAGATGGCAATTATACTCAAGAACTTTTGTAGAAATTATATAAAAATACTTTCCTCTAACTACAGAAATCAAGTTTAGTATCTTCTACGTCATCCATTAGAAGCACGAAAGGAAGTTTATCATGGGAATTTCAACTATTAGTGTCTCAATGGCAAACCTGTAGGCATTCTCCCCCAAAAAAATTAAGTTTGGAAGTTTCTCAAAAGTGGCTCTCCATATTTCTTAAGTTACCATTTTGATCTTCCAATTCTCTTCCCCCTTATTTCTACTCTCTAAAAGTGTTATGATAAATATATTTAGAGTTTAACAGAACTCACATTACTCGTAGTTTGAGAATTTTATGCAGGCGCTGCTGACCTTATATAAGTTAGGTTAGGTTGGGAGACAGGAGGTTGGCCATCTCTGTTTTAGACCACAGGTTCTCAGGTTAAAATTCTGAAGTGTTTCCTAGACAATATGGGGGCTGCTTGAGCTGAATAAGAATCCTAAATAGCAGAGTAACACGGAGGTGGGTCAGGGGAATTATTTAATCAGAGTAGTTCTGATTTTGAAAACTGACCAAGGTCAGCCAGCGAAGACCTTAGTCCCGGAGGAAGAAACCGGCCACCACGGATCACAGCACACGGCACCTGACTTTCACCTCCTCCCCTCTCACTCTTTCTCCTCCTCCTTTCCTTTCCTCTCTTACTGAATGACAAGTGTTAACAGTAGAGTTATATGTGCTTACCACAATACTTGGCATTCAGTAATTAGTTAATAAAAAACATTTTCCTAGAAGCATGGCATGGAAGGGAAACTACTTAGAATATATGCATTAAGTGGCTAAGAGTACAATGATATAAGCATTGGAATATTGGAGAAATTTTTAGTACAGCATTAAATTTGAAATATCAGAACTTTCCCAGATTTTCTTACTTGCCTTCTTAACATACTTATCAAATGGCAAGCTTGGTAAGAAAGCTACTGGATCTCCTCCAAGATCCCTCACCTAACTAGCAGGCAAAAAGTCATTCACTGCTTTGGCAAAGGGTCTTGCAGCAGAGTCCCTGCTGAACTGCAAGCCTGCCATGTCCCCGGCCCCTGCCTGGCTTAAGAAAGCAGCACAGGACGGTGGGCCCCACCTCAGAGTGGGGCGCTGAGACAAGCACTGAATACTAGTGGGCACCTTCAGACCAACCTCTCCCAACTCTTCACTTTAAAATGAGAAACTGAAGCCCAGGGTAAACATCCCAGGCCTCACATATTTTTATGGCCAGAACCACAAGAAGCCCAGTCTTCTGGCTCCCAAGCTTAGGGCTTCCTTTCAGACAGCTGCTCCAGAAGTAGAGCGCTGGCTTCTGAAAGTGAGTGTGACTCAGGGAACACGGACAGCAACCCTGGGGCAGGCTTATCGACTAGCCCTTAAAGTGGCGTGAAACAGGGATCTGCCACAGTTTGATTTAAGGGTGTGGCATCCAAATCCAAAAGAACTGCCAACTGTTGCAAAGATTCAGTGGTGGCAATTGACATCTCTCTTTATCCTCTCATTCTGTCCCTTTTCTCTTTGCTACGCAGTTAATCAGGAGTGCTCCAAAGTGCCAGCAACGTACAAGAAGTGGGGCAAGGAGGAGGGGGAAGTAATGACAACCTTTAGGAAAGTAAGAAAAAGAATTTAAATAGCTTAAAATCACTCTCACCTTCAAAACTGCAGTATTTTGGAAATTCACAGCTTTTCTTCTTACCGCCTGAAAGTGGCCCTGAGAAAGTCTTACTCCAAAGAACCTCCTCTGGCGCACCCTAGACACCCGCCTTTACCACTGACTGCTCCCCTCCGGCTCAGTCACATGCAGGCTATCTGCTTCCTATAGCTTGAGTCTCCCCACTACTGGTGCCCGAAGACCTGTAGCCGAGCTGGTCTGGTTCTCATCTACGCTTTCTCTTCTCTCAACTATTTCCAACTGTACTATTTGGCTCCTCTTCCTCAGTGTATTTTTCATGTCAGAAATCTGAGTTGTACGGATGAATGGATAAAAATGTGGTGTATACAACGGAATACTGCTCAGCCATAAAAAACGATGAAATTGTCTCATATGTGACAACATGGGTGGGCCTTGTCAGTATTATGCTAAGCAAAAATAAGCCAGACAGAGAAAGACAAACACCGTATGCTTTCACTCATACGTGGAAGATAAACAAACACACAGATAAAAGAGAAGGTTGGTGGTTACCAGCGGGGTTGGGGGTGGAGGGAGGGCAAAAGGGGTAAAGGGGCACATGCGTATGGTGATGGATGGAAACTAGACTTTGGGTGATGAACACGATGCAGCACAACGCAGTCTATACAGAAGCCAAAATATAATGATGAAATTTACACAATTTTATAAACCAATGTGACCTCCATAAAATTTTAAAAAAAGTGTCTCAAAAAAAGAAAGAAAGAAATTTGAATTGTAGAGTGGCACTAAACCCCAAAATAAATCTGAAGAATTATTAGGGCAAATTGAAATCACCAAGTATTCTCTTCCTTTCTTCAGTCAGCTAGTCAATTTTTAGTGTCTCATCAGGCATATACTTCTGGTAACTGGCGGCCCATCTCCTTGAGGACACTATTTTAGCAACAAGTCAAGCCCCTAAAGTGCAGGATGTCTGCGCTGAAAAGATTTTAGACATCAGCTAGTCTATCTCAAACCCTTCATCTTACAAATCAATAAACTGAGCCTAAGAGAAGGAAGGTTTTTCTCAAGACCCTTCCAGTCCATTTCTCATCCTGCAACACTTTAACATGCTATCTTTTCTTTCCAATTAAAGTCTACCTGTTTCCACCTGAATTACTCCTTCACCAATTATTTTTCAAAGGAAAGACCATAATCAATGCCCTCAGGTCGTAATATACTTCCTTAGGATTTCTTTAGGGAGTTTTCTTTTCTTTTTTTTTTTTTTAAAGATTTTATTTTTTCCTTTTTCTCCCAAAGCCCCCCATTTAGGGAGTTTTCTTTTTACTTAATTTCAAACTCCAAATTATGTGTGCATTACTAACTACGTACTATGAATGTATAAGTAAGGGCTTTCCGTAAATCCACATACTAGAGAAAAGACTCAGATGATAAAAGCGGCTTAGGAGTCCAGGTCTTAATTCTAGCTCTGCTACTAATTAGCTATGACCTTTTGAGCAAGTCACTTCAGTTTCTTTTTTCACATGGAAGATAAGGAGGGTGGACAAGATGTGTGTTTCTCAGCTTTCCTTGGAGTCCATCAAGTTCTGAAATGGGGTCCAAAGATCTAATGGAAACCATGGTTCTGCTTCCTCCAGACAAAGCTGCACAGCTAAAATATTGAGTTTGCTTTGGGGTCACACTAGGTATCTTGTGCTGATCAGAAGCTCTAACTGGCACATACGTACACCTTCAGCTAAAAATGGCAACATAAATTACTTTTAAATAGTTTGTTTGAAAGACCGAATTAACAAAAAACAACCATTTGGCTCACTGGAGAAATAAAAGAAAGCAGCTTTCAAAAGCACAATTGTGGGAACAGGAGGAGGAGAAAGCAGATTTTGCATGGAGAAAGTAAAATCAATTCACATAAATATGAAATTAGATTTCACTTGAAGGAGCAAGCAACTTCTGTCCTTCCTGTGTTTGTCTGCTGACGCTGGAAGTGCCCAGATGCACAGCACTCACTCTGTGTCCTCCCAGCTCCTGGAGACAGCACTCGATCCAACAGAGGAGGCACTTAGACTCGGATTATCAAGTATTTTTCCTTTACATTCATATTAAGTCTCCAACTAGATTACACTGCACAGACAACGTAGAGAGAGGTCCTTTAAGGAGTTTAAATCTCTTAGTACAAAATACAACAGTTCACTTGGCCAATACTCAAAAGGGCATTAGCAGGGATTACATTTCATTTCCAATCTACAGGGACGGAAATCATAAGGTTCCGCCCGCTGCTGCCTCACAGTCTCACTGTTTCACCCGCAAAGAGGGAGGCTGTGCGCCGGCAAAGGGCCCTGGACTCGGGCAAGGAGATGTGGGTTCCAAACCAGCTGGCCCCAGGAGCAAGTCCCTGCACCCAGAACAGTACTTTGCATGAAGCTGATGCTCAATGAAGGTCAGTTGGCTGGCACTGTGACAATTTCCACCATGAGCCAATTCATATTATATAGAGAACTTAAAGATGTGTCCCTCCAAGAAACTGAAATCCAATTATGTGAAATATGGGAAGTTGGGTGGAAGGAAAAGAGTTAACATTTCCTGACTCTTATTATAAGCCAAAGGATTTAGAGCAGTTATCTCACAAAAGCCTTGCAGAGTAAGTGAAATATTTCCATTTGATACTGAGAAAACCAGACTCAAAGAAAGTACTACGTAATTCGTTCAAGATCACACTATTAGTAAGGGGAGAAGCCCAGATTCCAACTCAGGTCTGCAAAGCCCACACCATTTGCAGAAGGCAACACTACAGGTGGAGGCGGCCCACGATGAGTTGGGGACTTGGGTCGAAGTTTCACTTCTGTCACTAAGTTGTTGCATACTAAGCAGAACACCTTTCTGCAATTTTCACACCCGCACATGGAGGGGTGAGAGAGGCTCAGGTCAGCGGTTGGTTGTTTTGCTTTGCAGGGCTGTTATCAGAATCCTTTTGGGGCAGGACTTTTTCCAACACAGGCGCTTCCCTCTCCTGCGCTCTGAAATTACTTGGGAGTGGGGTCCTCGGTTACTAAAGGAAATGTTGACACCCCTCAAGTGGGTCGGAGCAGAAACGCGGGGCGGGCTTCAAGCCCCTCCCATCAGGTTGCGGCTGAGACCCTGACCTGTCGGGGGGATCCCGGCGAAAGCCAAGAGACGGCTCACTCGCGGATTCACGTTTCGCCCCGGCCTGGCGCTCTCCGGCCGCCCAGCGGTCTGGGAGGAAGGGCTGGACCTGCGCCCGAGGACTCGAGCGTCTGCGGGCCGCCCGTAACGAGAGGCCGCGCCGCACGGACCGCATCGAGCGCACCGCGCAGCGAGCGAGCTCCAGGAGCCGGGCTCGGGCGGGGCGGCGCGCCGGTCCCGGAACCACTTCCCGGTCAGCGCCGTGGCCGCCGCCCACTTTCGGTTTCCCCGCACTGCCCGACCGCCGCCGCCGCTGCGACTCGGGAATCGCCTCAGCCGCCGGCCCCGCCGCGCGTGGGAAGGGAGACCGACGCCGCCTAGCGGTTTCTGCGCGTGCCCACGCACGGGCCGACGGCGGAAGACGCAGCGGGGCGCGCAGGACGCCTCCCGGTGGGCGCCGCGAGGGCGGGCGGGCCTGGGGTCGCGCTGACGCCCTCGGGCTGGTGGCTTCTCCCGCCCGCGGACGGTTCGTTCGGCTCCCGCTCCTTCTGCAGTTCTGGAACAGTCACTGTTTGTTCTCCTGGACGTCTGCCTCCTGGTCCGCTCATTTACTTTAGGTCTTTTCTCAAGCGTCATCCTTTCAAGGTGGTGGCCCCGCTCAGACGCGTCAGCCCCCTCCCCTGGCGTTCCCGTCTCCGTCTCAGCTGCACCCTCCTTAACGCCCGTGCAGCGCGCCACGTGCGTGCCTCTCACTCACCTCATTGACTGCCGTCCCCCCCGAAGTCCAGCTCCATGAGCGCGCGGATCTTTGTTCTAGTCCCTAATCTGTTCCCAGAGCCTAGGACAGCGCCTGGCAGGTGATGAGCGTGCCATAAATACTTGTCAGTCACTCGTTATAAAATTGTTGAACACCTAATATTTATTCAGTAATTTATTCTGCACATTAATTCTACCAATATTTACTGAGCATCTGCTTTGTATTCCTTAAGCCAACACTGAACCCTTCTCTGCATCCATCCCGTGTGCATTGACTGAGGGCCTGCTGTTTGTTCAACCAGCTTTTTTACAGCTTTATCGAGGTATAATTGACATACTATAAACTGCACATTTAACATGTACAATTTAAGTTATGACATGTGAGTAGAGCTGTAAAACTAACAGTGCTATAAAAATGACCATCTCCACCGCCCCAGGGAGCTTCCTCCTACCCCTCTGTAACCCTCGCCTCTTGTGCCTCCCGGTCCCTTGCTCCCTCACCCGCTGATCTGTTTGTTGATGTAAATTAGTTTGCTTTTTCATGAATTTTCTGTAAATGGCGTCATGCAGTATGTGCCATCTTTCACTCAGTGTGTCTGTTGGATTCGTCCATGTCGTGTGTACTGGTAGTCCATGGCTTTTTATTGCTGAACAGTATTCCGTGATATGGATGTGCTAAACCTACCATAGGACCCAGCGATTCCATTCCCAGGGTCTCCCCAGAGAAAGCACATGTCCACACGAAGACCTGGACAAGAATATTCACAGCAGCTTTCTTTGTCACAGCCAAAAATGGAAACAACACAAATGTTCATCTGGGGGTGAATCAAACAGTATATATTGAATCCCTGCCGTTAAATAACACACTTTCATGGAGCGCCTGCTATGTTAAGGCACACGCCTGTGCTTGAGGGCTGTTGATTCCGTGAAAGGCTGTAGTGGGCAGTGAAAAGGTGGACTGGGAGCAGATCATGGAAGGCCCGCAGCCCGTGCTCAGGAGTTCGGGCTTTTCCCCAAAGGCAATGGGAACTGTTCAGAGTCTTCTTTGAACGCTGTTCTCTTTTGCACTCCCGCATCTCGTCCCTGGCTGAGTCTGCCCAGATGTCTCTCCCTGGGCTTCTCTGCATCCCTGCTGCTGTGTTTCAGTCTATTTGAGATCTCTTTCTCCCTTCTCTCCCCTCGAGTCTGCTCCAACGCTGCAGCGGATTTAATAGCCCTAGAATACAGCGAGACCCGGTTTGGACTCACAGTGCTCGTAACACCCCCTGGCTCCACGTTTAAGATGAGAAAGATAAACAAAGCAGCTCTCAGCTGAAAGAGTGCCAGTCGGAGTAGGAAATTAGGGAAAAACTCCAGAGTCCAACATTCAAAATAAATCATAAAACAGTGGGAGTTGACCCCAAGCCTGAGATCCTTCATCCTTGCAAAGGGATTCCAGGGTTGGGCTGTCCTATATAGAGAGAAAAACGATGCTCTGCAGCTAGGTTTTTCAAAGCCAGCTTTACTGATGAATAGTTTACATATAACAAATCTTTTAAACGTATGGTTTGATGAATTTTGACAAATGGGTTCAATCACGTGTCCGCCACCACAATCAAGATATAGTAGTAGTTTATCACTCCAAAATGTCCCCTGTGCCCTTTTATAGTCCATTTCCTCCCCCTACCTCCAGCCCCTGGAGGCCACTGATCTGATTTCTGTCCATAGCTTTGCGTTTTCCAGAATGTCATAGAAATGGAATCATACAGTATGTTGTCTTTTGGGTCCGGCTTCTTTCACTCAGCATGATGCTTTTCGGAGTCAGCCATGTTGTTGTGTCTATCAGTGGTCTGTTTCTTTTTGTTGCCATCATATGTGTGGCTATGTCACAATTTGTTTATCCATTTGCATTTGGTACCCGTTTGTGTGGTTTCCAGTTGGGGCTATTCTGAATAAAGCTGCTATAAACAGTCACATGCAGGGCTTTGTGTGGTTGTATGTTGTTCTTGTGTAAAGATTTAGGAGTAGAATTGCTGGTTGTAGGATAGGAGTGTGTCCACACTTGCACTTTTTTTGACAGAAAACTGTCAAACTGCTTTCTAAAGTGGCTGCACCATTTTGGACTCCCCTGCAATGTATGAGAGGTCTGGTTTCTCCAAATCCTCTCTAATACTTGGTGTTGTCAGTCTTTCTAATTTCAGCCATTCCAGGGGCTATCTGGAGATATCATATTGAGGTTTAATTTGCGTTTCCCCATGACTAATGATGTTGAGCATCTTTTCACGTGCTTGTTGGTCCTTCGTATGTGTTCTTGGGTGAAGTGTCCTTTCTACAGGTAGGTTTTTGGCTAAGATGTATCAGGAGGGTCTCAGAAATCCCTGGGTAGCTGACATAGCAAGGACAGGTTAGGAAGCTGTGTTTATTGTCTTTGGGAATGGTCCAAGGCCCAAGAGAGTTCAAGAATCAACCTCCATGCCCTGGACGTAATTGGATTTAGGGGGAATTAAGGGACATCAGGGATGACACAAATTCGTTATTCTTTAGGCACAATGCTTCTTACCTCTTTTGGGGGAAGGAGGTCAGACTATGTGAAAGCAACACATAAATACCCAGTTTGGCATACAATTTCAGAGAAGATTTTGTGGTCCCCGAAGCTCCACTGTGAACTGTGCTAAAGCTGCCTTAGACGGAGGTGTATTCCTGAGGCCAAAGAGCAGAGTTTTCAGAACGGATGAGACTCAGGTGGAAGGCATTCTCACTCACCAACCCCAGCTCATCTTTGGACGACAGGGTGGGGGCAGGAGCATCTGGGTCTCTCTTTCAGGAGAGGCAGGCACGTTTCCCATCCCCTAGGGCTGTCGAGAGGGCCTCGGTGCTCTGCTCAGGTGGCTTTTGGGGGAGGCAAGGTGGATGGGGGATCAGGCACAGCTGGCCAGGAGGCAGCAGCCTGGCAGGGACTCCGTGCCTGCCCAGATCCTTCACAGGAGAGAGGTTCCCACGGAAGGGGAGTGCCAATCAAGGCCCAGGTGTTAGGAAGGAAGACGGGTCTGTTGCCAGCTCATCCTGGGCTGAGGAAGGTGGAAGTATTTCCAGTGCGAACCCTCCGTGTACAGCCCTTCATGCGTTTTTGTCCACACCTGGGGAGCCCGCGTGTTTGGAGAGAGCCACACTGGACGCACCGTAACCCTTGTACGAGGCAGGCGGGACCAAAGCTACTGGCTGAGGGGAACCTCTGTCCCTCTGTCCCTCCCTTCTCTCAGTTCAGCAAGCGACATTTGGACTGAAGGGGAGACTGCAACCGCATTCCAAGAACACATCTGGAGCTCGCTTTGTTTTCATCTCACCCGATGGATGGGCTTTTTGGTGTTTTTGATGCAGCCCAAGAAAGAGATAGTCCTCGTCCTCCCTCTCAGAGCCTCTCCCGTAGGCAGCTTTGCAAACATCTCTTCCACCCTCCACATTTCAGAGAGGGAATTTTAGAGACCTTTTAGCTCGCGTCCCACTTCCTATTTGAACTCGTCTGTTTCTTCTCTACATTGTTTCCAAAAATAAAATCAAAACCCAAACTCTCCTTTCTGTCACTTTGTGAACCAGCGAATGAGCCGCAGGGGCTTGGTTGGGGCATTGTTCAGTGTTTTGAGTAATTTCTCTCCTGGGACGTCTTCCTTGCAGCCCACCTGAAAGCGATTGCTCCTTCGGCTGAACTCCTAGCGCGCCTGATTTGTTCCTCAACAGTGTTCACAGAGGAGAGGACTGTGGCAAGTGATTCTGTCTCATCTCCCTTGTGAACAACCTGAAAAGAGTTTAGATCTTATTCGTCTTTTTTCTCTGAGTTATTTAACTGCAAATAATTAGCAATAGTAATTTTACTCCTTTTTGAAGCCAAACAACATGTTCAAATGTATGTATGTGGACGAAACCCAGCCTCTTGGGTGCTTTCTGCTTCCATAAGGTCAGGAAGACAGATCCATGACAAGAGGAATCTGTGGGCAGATCTGCTTTTGGTTAATTGTTAACATCATGGCCAGGCCATTCCCTCTGCCATCAGCTACAGCCTCACAACAAGTGCAGAGAAATTTCTAGACAATTGCATTTGTTTTAACTGAGTAAGGAGAAACAAAACAAGACAAAGAACAGCAGGGAGAGCTGGCCGGAGCCCTGCTGAATCCAGGCCGCGTACAGCTGAGGATGTGCTGACGGAGCAAAACGCCCTAATCTGCCCACAAAGGCCTCCAAGGTGAGTCAGCTGAAAGGGGCTAATCCCCGGGAGGGACTGACCCCCAAAGCTGCAGAGGCCACACAGCCACAGGACGCTGGAGAACAGGGGACAACGAAAGCTTAAAGGGACGTCGTGTAGAGAAAGGTTGTAGAACCGACAGCGGAGGGTCTTGGCTGTCTAAGAGAGCGCCTCCGCCCCATCTCAAGCTGTGGGCCGTTCACACAGCTCAGCCTTGGCCAAGGCCCAGATAGAAGGGTGATCCCCACGGTGTAGATACCGAGTTGTCGGCTGGCTCAGGCGCCCAGTCGTGGGGCGGGGCGTGGAGGTGGGGTAATTAATACTTGAAGCAGGGCAACCGACTACAGTATTACTGAGTCTGTAAGAGGCAATAAATCAGCTGGTGCAAAAGCTCTACTGCACTAGATGCTGGGGTGAGGAAGGGAGGAGGCGGTGGGAAGAAACCACAGAAGTATATAGGAGGCGCAAGGTGTAGGTTAGTGGACCCTGAAATCAAAGACAGACAGTGTCCAAAAGGTGTGGGTTCAGATGCAAAGTGTACTGTTCAGGGAGGATCACTGCCCCTTAGTTGTTTGGCCTTGGATAAATCATTTGGGGATTGATCTTTTGTTAAATAGGAGTCCTTCAGTCTGATCCTAGACTTGAGTTCCCTTACGTGGCAAAGTTAACCCATTGAGTAGCAACAGAGCCTTCCTCGGGGTCTGTCTGTGGGCGGGGCTGGATGCTTGTTGTCCTGCCATGTACAGAACAGCTCCCCACATCAGAGAAATTTCCCTGGTCCCAACCAACATGGGAGTACTTAGCCAGTCACTCATGTAGATGACAAACCTCTGCTTTACTTGTAAACACAAATACCTTTTTCAATTTTTACTGTACAGTGAATGTTCTGGGTTATTTATCTGTGAATTTCACTTCAGGAGAGTAAATACAAGTATTGTTACAAAAGAGGGGTGCTGGGTCAGACAGGGCTGAGTGTTGCTTCTAGAAATCCCCCAACAGCCAATCCTACCCAGAGGGAAGCTGAGCAGGCCGTTCCTGTTTAGCCCAACAGACATGGGAGTGGAAACGCGTACTTGTCTGTATGAGAATCTGCATCACCGATTACCAAATTGCCTGGTTTTCGCGGGCACGCACAGCCAGTTGAGGAAATTAAAACCACTCTTTATGGGTTCTTCCTGGAGTTCACTTAGCCCAAAGTCAGATCTCCTGCTATAAGGGGAAGAGATG